AATATATAAGTATATATTTTTAAATAATATTCTATGCTGCCTCTCGTAACGTACTCAACTTGCTTATTCGTAAAAAGCATTTCTATAAAATAAATATGCTTTTAAAATATTTCAAATAAAACAAACCTAATCAAGTTTCAAATGCTATCCAGCTCCGCGAGTTAAGTATAAAATGCAATTTGCTTTGTTGCAGCGCATTAAATTTTCCAATTAACAACTGCTGCTGCTGCTGTTGCTGCTGTTGCTGTTGCTGTTGGTGCTGTTGCTGTTGGTGCTGACTGCTGCCGTTGGCTGTTTGGCAAAGTTATTTAACAACTTTTGCACACTAACTACTTACGGCACAAAGAGCAACAAACAAATTGATGATGAATAAAAACATTTTGTAGTAGCAGCATTGGCGCTGCTCAAACATTTCATTTCGCCGAGGGTCGACAACTGAATCGAAAAGAGTTTTCCAATTGCAGTTGCCACTGCCACTGCCATTGCCATTGCCATTTGCCATTTGCTGTAGCCATTGCTGTTAATTTGTAGCCAAAACATTTTTAATTTGGTGCCAACGGGCAAACGGGCCAACGGGCCAGCCGGATGCAAAGCCACAGAGCCACGCAGAGCAAACAAAAAACAATTGAGGATGCACGGAAATGGCGCACAGGACACACGACAGCAGTTTGTCCGTGTGCATCCTGCTTGCCCAATTTGGCTTAAAGGCCAAGAGTTTTCTTCTTTTTTTTTTAGTCAAGATAAATTAGCATAAATTTCATATTTATATATTTTGCACTTGGGCAGAAATTGAATTTTAATCAAATGCAAAAGTCACAAAGCGAAAGGCTGTTACGCCCATCAATCAAACGGGCGTTTTGCTAACACTAACAGCGACACGAAACGTTTTCTCACTCATTAAAAGCCAGGAGGCAACAGTCAACACGGCATCACGGCGAAAGAAAAATAAAAATCTAAAAAAAAAGGGAAAAGGGATAAATGGAACGTTAAAAAAGACGAAATTTAGCAAAAGATGAAGAAAAAGATGTGAAAGTAACACGAAACGGAACAGGACAACCAGGACGACGTGCTAAGCCCACGGCAAGATTAATTAAGTCTGCGCAGGCAGGAAAAAAKTCGTCAGAAGCAACAGCAAGACAACAATGCGAATTGACTGACTGACTATGAAATACCCTGTGCATGTAGAAAGCTAAGCAAATGATGTATTGAGACACTGCTAAATATTTTCTTGCTTTCTCTACTCTAGACTTTCTACTACATATCCCAGCAATTTACAAATTTACATTTCTTATAGTTATGTATTCTTACCAAGTATAAAGTCTATCCACTCTCTGAGTTATTTGAATCTCATTGAATCATACTCAAGAAACTTGAGCTGTAAATTAATTATTGATTTATTGACAGATTATATATGAAGCATACCCTACTTATACTTATATAAACATGCATATACCCTATCTATATTATACATTCTTCCATTGACACAGCGATTAAATCGTTTATGCAGACAAATGAGCCGAACAACGCATTTCTAATAGACTCAACGACTGTTGCCATCCACACACAGTATACCCTCTCGCATTTAATGCATTTCAAATATGTAAGGGGTACACGGAACAAACAAACAAACAAACAGTCACTGTGGCAGCGGATGCTGCGACGCGTTGCGACGTCCGCGTCCAAGTGCGTGTTAATGCTTCGTACTCTTTTCCTTCCATGCTTTTAGGCGTCGCGTGAAAAAATTAAAATTTCAAAGCGCCACAGAAACTGCGGCGACTACACCAACACGTGTACGTGCACATGAGTGTCGGTGTGTGTGTGTGTGTGTGTTAAGTATTTACTCGGGCAAGAAATACAAAAAGCAGCAACAACAAACAAAACATAAACAACGGCAAATAAGCAGGAAGCCTTGTCGTTGCCTACTCATAATAAGCATATTTTAAATGAGCCTAACGCAAGGCGTTAACAATGCTAAGGGATACGACACCCCTGCAGCACCCACCATCCCCATTCTCCAGCCGCCTCAAGCTCAGCAATTTTCACGCAATGCCGTAATGCTAAAGTGTGACTTGTGTGAACTTTAATTGTTTTTCAAATATATTTACTATTTAATTATCTGATATTATTTATTGAATCAACAATCAAATAGATTGTGTATAGTATTTTATAATATATTTTTGCTATCTCTTATTGAAAATTATTATTTGAAATTTGTTGGCTTAAATGAAACCTGAAAATTCTGAATCTCTTTCATTCATTTTTCATTCAATTTTATAATTATTTATTTTTATTTCTATTTCTATTTTTATTATTTTTCTTTTATTCCGTTTTTATTTTTATTTATTAATTAATTTTTTAAATTTATAT